TTATCATTATTAAATAATATCACAGCTCTGACCTTTTTATGCTATAAATAATCTCACAGCATTGACCTTTTGTAGGCTATAGTAATAGGTAGTGTCAACGTTCTCTAATGTTAGAGAACGTATACAAGTAGTCTACGTTCTCTAATGTTCATTGCTTCCAAGCGTGGCATCGACTCCCGGTCTCGGAAGGTTTTTTTTTTCTTCTCTCCGACTGACCAACAATTTGCCCCCTGACCCACAACAAAGGCGAATAATAATTGTGAGGCAGCGTGGTGGAATCAGGCTCTCGTCAATTTTTGGGCATATTGAGCAGTTGGTATCATCTTAAAGCTAGTTCATTTGTCTTGCTTTCAATGAAAAATTACCCATCCATCTTCAATAGAAGTGGAGATATTTTGGATTGAAGGAGATGGGGGTCACCTGATTTTAGAGGTAAAATTAGTGAGAAAATGGCCGCTAAAGATGAGTTATTTCCTTAGATTAAGAGTCTGCGGTAACTGAAAATTTACTTGTTTTGTGCCTTTCATCAACGTTTTACAGTAAAATCCACACAGAAATGAGTTCTTTAATGGGCATGAAAGGTGTTGAGCCAAAAAACAAAAATTTGATAAAAATTCACAAACCAACAGAAAAAAGCAAGTTTCTTCACTTTGATTATTTTGACGAGAGCCTGATTCCACCACGCTGCCTCACAATTGGCAGGAGGAACAATTGGCAGGGTTCTGGGGGCCGCAGGAGGCCCTGGAAACTGAATAAAATTTGCAATTGAAGAGCTTAACTTTGGCCTCTCTGAGCCTAAAATTAAAAGAGATATAATTAGACTCACAGACCAAGGAAAGCCTATATTGAACTTTAACCAGGCCTAAATTGGGAAAGAGAAAGAGAGGAAGGCAGAGAAGGAAACGGGAGGACAACATTACAGAGTGGACAGGAAAGACGATGGGTGACAATCTGAGGAGAGCAGAGGACAAAAATAGATGGCGAGAGCTGGTTTTCCAATGCAGTGGTGCCCCAACGGTTGCCCCAACCACGGGATAGAAGAAGAAGAAGAAGAAGAAATTGGGAAAAGGAAAAGTATACTTTGTAGGTAAAAGCTCCTCTTGGGGACAAACCAGAATGTGCATGCTTCATCATTACTTACAAACTACAAAGCAACCAATTTATAATAATGGGAACAAACTGTTGGTCAGTTGGGGAAGGAGAAGAAGAAAAATAAAACACCTCCCGGGACCGGAATTCGTTCCCAGGCTCATAAAACAATTGTATGACTTCGAACGCAGACACGCTGTCCACTGGGCCATTAGAACTTCCAACAGCAAAGGGTAGATTAAGCTTAATATATTTACGGCATAGGCTAAAACAGCACCTGGACACGGATGGCTGGTGCCTCTATAAATAAATCATTGATGGTCAGGTCATTTACAGCACTGTTTCAGGAAAGGCAACGCAACATAGATCAAAATGTAATTATTTTTACAACGAAGAAAGTGAGAAAGTCGGAAACATG